CCCCCACCTCCCTGCCAAGCTGTGACGCAGACTGAAGTTTTTCTTTTGAGTAAGTGACAGGTTCAGGGAGGCGGAACAGAGCAAGTACTTAGAATTCGCAGTGCAGAATTCTCTGAAATCAGACTCCCAACCTGCCCTTCCTCGGGGCCGGGAATTAAACGGGCTGCCCTGGGCTTGTCTCTGATGGGTCTCCCATGAGAATAATTTTCCTACCATCTTATTCCACCCTCTGTCCCAGGGCTAAGAAGAGATTTGCCGGGGAAATCTTCTCCCTCCGCCAAAGCCCTTTGCTGGCTCACCCCACTCCAGGGCGAGAGTGTGGGATGCAGGGACCGGGGCCGGAGCAAGCGTGTTCTGTTTAGCAACGATCGGAATGTTGTGGGTTATGTAACAGGAATATTAATTCTCTCGTAGACAGCGCAGGGCTGCGAGGGGCTGTGGGTGTGCTGTCTGGTCCGCTGCCCTCCTCCCCACCTCTCATTTAGAGCCGAACCAGATGACAACTGGGCAAGGACATGGCGCCCTTGGGGTCGCACATGGAGGAGGTGGGTTGGCTGGGCCAGATTCCGTGGGAGGCTCGCTGTGGTGCGCCCAGCGGCTTCCCTATTCTGCGTGTCTAGAGGTGCAGGGCTGACCTGCGGTGCAGAGGGAGTAACCAGGTGTGGGGAAGCGTCAGAGCGACTTGCCTCCCACACTGATCGTCTGGGGCTGGTGTGGGCCAAGGATGGGAGGGGCTGGGCTCCTGGGTGGGCAGAGGTTGGGCTCTCTCCCGGGCTCCCTGCATCCCAGGGTCACCTGGTTTTGCCGCCACCACAGCCGGGCGCACCTTGCTTTGTGAATGTGCAGGCAGGGGCTTCTCGCTCTGGATCGCGAGCTCCCCGCACGCAGGGGCCTGCCTGCTGCTCTCTGAGCAGGTGGGTGCAGGGCCCGACCTGCCTTCCGTCTCAGGCCTTGCACCTACATGCAGGGGCCTTTGCTGACTGATCAGCAGCACAGACCCGTCCGCAACTCCCAGATGCAAATCCTTTCCTCGCCCACATGGAGCTCGGTGGCCTCTGGTGTGGACTCCCCAGCCTGCCCCCTCACCGGCTCTGCCATCTTGGACATGATGCTAAAATTGGATAAACATGAGGAGCATGTTTCTCTGGGAGCTGAAGACCCAAGGCGGCGGGGGATGAGGGGTGGAAGGCATGCAGCCAGGCCCGGCCCATTCCCTTCCCTTCCCCCTGGGTTCAAGGTGGCACGTTCAGGGTTTCACCAGGACAAGACCTCCTCCCTCTCCCTCCACCTGCCACCCCACCCCTGTCCCGTCTCACTGCCCAGGAGGGCACACTCTGCTCATCCAGAAAGTCGTACGTCACATTAGCCGTGCACAGACCTGGGCATGTCCTGCCCTCAGGGCTGACTGTCCACGTGGTGACTCTTTCTCATGAGGCTGTCCCGGCCACAGGAGAGGTTCAGCAGCGTCCTTAACCTCCTCCCCTCCTCCCGCCAGACGCCAGGAGCACGACACCCCCCCCCCCACCCCCACCCCCACCCCCACCCCCACCCCCACCCCCACCCCCACCCCCACCCCCACCCCCACCCCCACCCCCACCCCCACCCCCACCCCCACCCCCACCCCCACCCCCACCCCCACCCCCACCCCCACCCCCACCCCCACCCCCACCCCCACCCCCACCCCCACCCCCACCCCCACCCCCACCCCCACCCCCACCCCCACCCCCACCCCCACCCCCACCCCCACCCCCACCCCCACCCCCACCCCCACCCCCACCCCCACCCCCACCCCCACCCCCACCCCCACCCCCACCCCCACCCCCACCCCCACCCCCACCCCCACCCCCACCCCCACCCCCACCCCCACCCCCACCCCCACCCCCACCCCCACCCCCACCCCCACCCCCACCCCCACCCCCACCCCCACCCCCACCCCCACCCCGTTCCTAGACATTGCCAAATGTCCCCTGGGGGCAAAATCGATGCTCTATGGGAGCCACATGGAACCCAACCATGGTGACTCCAACGGCTGACGGTCCCCAGGGTCCTCTCCTCTCTCACCTGCCACCCCTCTAGAGGGACAGACGCTCAGCACCCGCCCCCAAGAGGGCCCAGGAGGGCCTGGGCTAAGAGAGGGTTGGAGTTTATTCTCCCCTCCCCCCACATCCTTAACTGTGAAGACTGACACTGACACGCAGAGCGAGGACCCCAGCAGGTGCCACTCCGGGAGGAAAAGACCAGCTGTGGGGGGAAGAGGCCACCTCCTCTTGGAAATGCACACGGTCAAGGACACGGCTTAGAAACAAACCCACTTTAATATTAGAGAGTATACACAGAGATCTGGGCGAGGCCAGGCCGCACACCTGTCCTGGCCAAGGTAACGGAAGGTTCGGGGCGGGATGGGCAGGGGCACAGATGCAGGTCAGGGCTGCTGCAGTGAGCAGCAGGGGCCAGGGTGCGGGCGGAGGGTGTGCAGAGCTGAGGCTAGGGCTTGTGTGTGTGTTCGCACGTGTGTACACTGCATATGTGGGCACAATGTACACCGAATCTACAGGAGCCTCAGAGGCAGCATGAGGAGAGGACACACATCACGGTGTGTGCTGAATGTCCAGACCCAGCCCTGTGTCTGCCGCTCATAGACTTGCTGTGTGACCTCGGGCAAGTTGCTTACCCTCTCTGGGCCTTGGAAAGAGTCACTAGATGATTATTAAGGTTCTTTGTGGCCCTAAACATAAATATTTTCAGAAAATTAAAGTACAAAGTGTATTTAAGAGCTGATGACAACAGCGTTTGGTCTAGAGGTTCAAATCCCAGCAGGCCTGGTACCCAGTACCGCCCCATCCTGGGCACGAGAAAAAGACCCACTGGGAGTCTTTACACCTGCTTCTTCCAGGCTCAGCTCTGGCTCCCGGCTGCTCCTCCAAGCCTCCCACCAGCTGTGTGTGCGCGGAAGGCGGTGGGACAGCAGGGAGGGCAGAGGCGGGCGGGGGAGGGGAGAGTCCAGGCCCGGGGAAGGCCCTGGCCTTGGGGTCATAAAGTGCATCACTCACCCCGTTTCCAGCACACAGTGGCCCCAGCACCAAGGAGAGCCTGGTTCTAGATGGAGCTCTGTCCTGAACTAGTTACAAAAAAAAGCTGAAGCGGCCCGATGCCCGGCCCGGCCTGGGTGAGTGTGGACTGTAAAGCTCAGATGGAGGGCAGTGTCCAGCTGCAGACAGGCCAGGGAACCCCGTCGGGGAGCGGGGGAGGCAGTGGACGTGAACTGGGTGGGGGCCTGGCCAACGAGGGGTCACTAGGCTTTTACAGTACAAGGATTTCCATTCCTATGCTACACACGACGTGAGAACAGCTGTAACAACAAAGTAAACCAGCAGACGGGGGAACCTGGGAGAGGAGGCGGAGGGAGGCAGGTGGTCCCGGGGGTGGACGTGGCCCCAGAGACGTGGCTGCACCCCCTTCCATACACAGACGCCCCTGGCTTGAGGTCCCGAACAGCCGGGGCCCACGTGGGGGGCAGGGGTAGAAACAGCTGAGCCAGAGGGCGAGAGTTTCAGGATTGGGAGTGCAGGGGCTCTCCTAGCGGCCCGCTGAGCCAAGCTGGGTCTCACGCCAGGACAGCTGAGCTCTCCCGGCTGCTCTGGGTGCTGTTTTCATCCTGTCGCCATCCCAGGAGGCCCTGTGGGGTGCAGGGGTCCTGGCCCCTCTGGCATCAGTGTTTCTTATGACCCAAGGCCAGGAAGGCTCGACTGGGGTCCCTGCATCAAGTCCAGCTGTCTCCCAGCCTCGTCTCCTGCTTGCAGAGATCCGTCCCCACCCGGCGGAGCTGGGACCAGGGGCATCCGTGGAATCAGAGGGAGGAGGCAGGAAGGCAAGAGAAGGTTCAGAGGTTCAAGGCTGGGGTCCTCCAGTCTGGCGCCAACCACTGCCATTGGGGGTCTCTTGGGGGGTGCGGGCATCCGGGCCGCCTCCCGTAAGGCACTGCCCGAGCCCCACCCCAGCGTCCCTCCCGCTCACTGGATGGTGCATTTGTCCCGCTCCCGGGCCTGGCCCTCCCGCAGGACCTTGGCCTTGATGTACTTGAGGTCACTGTTGACGCTGGGGCGGCGGGCGAAGGGCGAGACCATGCCGTAGGCGTCCGTCTCCTTGACGCGGCGCATGCAGAAGGGCCTGGGGTGGAAGGTGTCGCCGTACTGCACGGAGATCTTCCGGTGCAGGGCGGGGCTCATCTCGTGGGGCAGCTTGGCCATGCTGAAGAGCACGTAGAACATCTCGTCCACGTTGGTGTTCTTCTTGGCCGACACCTCGAAGTAGGCGCAGTTCTCGTCGCCCGACACCAGCAGCTCGGCCTCGGTGGCGGGCACCTGGCGGCACAGCTCGCCGTGGTCGTTCTTGTTGCCGCAGATGACCATGGGCAGCTCCGCCGCCTCCTTGGTCTTGTTCTTCAGGCAGGACTTGACCTCCAGGATCTGCTTCTGCAGGCGCTTGACCTCGTCGAAGGACTCCCGGCTGTCCAGGCTGAACACCAGGATGAAGACATCCCCTGTGGGGAGAGAAACCCCAGGTGGTGAGTTCGCAGGCGGCTCCCGACAGCCCCCTCCCCCACGAGGCCGCGCAGCTCATCGGTGGCACAGCCTGGTTCGGACACGGTTCATCCACCCCCCATTTCCCTGCAGGGCTGAGTGACTTAGGCGCTTGTGGGGACGATGGAAGAATAACAATAAATACAATGTCCACGAGAGGAGGGGTCCTGCCTGTCTCGTTCAGTGCACACCCCAGGCCGGGAGCTGCACCTCACGCACAGCAGGAACTCGGTGCGGCATCGGGTGGCCCGGGTGTGCATCTTGCCTCCTCCACTCACCAGCCACACGACCTTCAGGGGACCACACGACCTTCAGGGGACCATGCGACCTCTCCAATCTCATTTCCCCATCTGTCCCATGTGGATGAAGCACTGCCCTGTGGGCTGACCTTGAGGGTCACAGGAGATGACTGCAGGGACGCTGGCCAGTGGTCTGGGTATCAACAATGCTAATGAGAACACGCACCTTCAGGAGCCGGCACGGCTTCATGCCCACCGTTTCCCTGAGTCCTTACAAGACCTCTGTGAGGTATGTTACCTTCGTGGTACAGGTGAGCAAACTGCGGCTCAGAAAGGACGAGCAGCCTGCCCCAGATCCCACAGCTCCATGTGGCCAGGCCAAGATTGGGGCCCAAGTCTGTCCTCGCCTAGCCAGTACCTAGCACACAGTAGGTGTTCTCTGCTGGCCTCCAAGGGCCACACTATCCCTAGTTTAGCTCACGGCATCACTGGAGGAGACCTTTGAATCTGAAACAAGGACGATGTGGAGGGGGCAGGGGTGGAGAGAGGGCTGCCGCCTTCATCCCAATTTCCAGATCTTACTACAGTGATCACAACCTCACGCTCAAAGACCCTTCCTCACTTTGGTGAGATGGCCAGATCCCTGCTTTACCGACGCGGGAACTGAGGCTCAGGGGCGGCGGCAACCGGCCCAAGTTCTCGAGAGAATGAAGCGGTTCCAGGCCCCCCACTCCTCTGGACCCCAGAGCACACGTCCGTCCCCACGATAGCACTTGCCACGCTCAGAACTGTGCACCGGCCTATGGTGCGCTCTGAACAGTGAGCTCTGGAGCAGGGGGCCTCATCGCCCTCCCCGCCTCCCAGGGCCCGGCACAGTGGGTGCTCCTAAAGCCAGCTGAATGTATGCGGAGGGATGGGATGGAATGAATGACGGTGTGGGCTGTTTAGAAAAGCACTTGCCAGGCAGTACCAGCCTGGCAACCGACTCCACTTGGGCTGCCAAACCCGTCCCATTCGGCTACTCCGGGGCCCCTGAGGATTCGGCAGCCTCGACATATTCAAATGCAAGACTGCGCCAAGCTTCAGCGTCAGCGGGCCGGGCTTGGCAGCTGGGAGAGGTGGCGGCAGAATGGATGGTTTTCAGGTTGTCGTGCGCATCAGCACCGGGTTGGAAAAGGAGGCACGGATGGGTGAGTGGAACCGCAAGCGGCAGGCAGATGTGCTCGGAATGGTATATGCACGTAAAAGAGCAACAGACGAAAATACTCTCTGTTGTGGGGATTCCAACAGGAATGTTAATGTGTTCGTGGGGGAGGGCCGGAAGAGTCCACGCCACACTGAGGGGTGGCCACCCCCGGGAGGCGGCAGGGCTGGGGGAGGGGACATGAGTCAAGGGCGCTTTTTAGCCTGGTCTATGTGTTTAAAGGAGGGTGTGTTTGTATATATTGTTTGTGTAATTAAAGATTAATTTTGAAAACATGCCTGTGGTCGCTCTCTGCATCTCCCCCTCTCCCTGCCTCAGATGTCAGCCTAGTTACATGGGTGGCCACCCAGGCCCCTCCCCAAGGGCTGACAGTCCTGCAATAGCCACCCTGTGCTGGAAGTGCCCCACGCACTTTCCTCCATTCCTCTCAGCCTCACTGGAGGAGGCGAGGCTATGCCCGAGCAGCTGGCAAGACTGCGATTCAGACCTCTGGTCACATGTCTACGCCACCCCCATGGTGGAGCCAGGACTCGAACCCAGGTCAGTCCAGGGCTCTTTCTATTCACACACCGCCTCTCCAAAATACGGACTATTTCACCCTAAGCCTGGCACCCCAGGCAGGGGCACAAGCAGGGTGCGGGGGGAGGGTGAGCATGACATGGGATTCTTGGTGCAGAAGCATCTGATTTGAGGGTGACTCTGGCAGTGACTGGAGAGGGGGTTACTTGCTCTTTCCTTCCCTTCATCACCGCCCAGCGATGGGTGGGCGTGGCCTGGGACATGCCTCCGCAGGGCCCGAAGCAGGCACACTGCACACACTGCTTTACTTCCCACCGATACTCACTGAGCACTTGCTATCTGCTCACCCAGCTTTTCACGTGTTAACTCATTTAGTTCTCACAATGGCTGATGTGATGCCAACAACAGATGAGAAAAGTGAGGCACGAAGAGATCAAGCTCGTGCCCAGCACCAAACCAGGACGCAGGGGAACCAGGACTTGGACCCAGGCAGCCTGGCTTCTAGGCCTGCCCACTTCGTTACTACACAAAGCTGCTAGCATCACCTGAGCGATGGCCCAGCCCCCACCTCCACCTGCCCCTTGATCCCCAACAATCTCTCGGGGCTGAGCGGCTTCAGGATAGCTTAGTGGTAAAGCATGACACAGACTTCCAGTCATCAGCTGTGTTACCACCGGAGTAACTTAACCTCGCTCAGCCTCAGTTCCCCCACCTGTAAAATAGAGGCGAATACCCGTCTCCTAGGTTAGCTGTGAGGATTAAATAAATAAATGCCCCTAGCATGGGCAGGGCCCCCGCCTGCCCTCTGGCTGACCCCCACCGGGCTCCTGTTGTTACCGCTGAGAGGTGGCAAAGGACATGGGATGTCAAGAGACCTGAGCCCAGCAGACTGGCCGTGAGCCCCAGAGCCCTGCCGAGTCACCTCCCTCAGGAGGAAGGCGGCAGCCCCTCTGCTCCCAGGACATCCCCAGCCCGTCTCTGTCAGCTCCTGGTCGGGAAGGCCGCTCTGGAGTCCTGGGTAATGGATCCAGAGTTGGACAGATGGAATTTGGGCCCTGGCACCAACATTTGCTCGGACAAGCGGCAACACCGATGTGACCTGCACAGCGCACGGGGCCTCTGTGACCTTCATCTCAGACGATGGGTGGGCAAGCGCTCTGCACGCTGTAAAGTGCTGGGCACATACGCCCACATGCGGGGCACCCACGCCCACCCCAGGCACCCACCTGTGAGGATGGAGAGCCTGCGCATGGCGGGGAAGGGGTGGTTGCCGGACGTGTCCAGGATGTCCAGCTGGTACATGTCGCCTCGGATGTTGTAGACCTTCCGGTGGAAGTCCTCGATGGTGGGCGTGTACTGGTCCTCGAAGCGGCCGTTGAGGAAGCGAGAGACAATGGAGCTCTTGCCCACCCGGGAGGCGCCCAGCACCACCATGCGGTACGAGTTCTTGGCGGGCACGCTGAACGTGCAGTTCCCGCTGGACAGGGTCTTCATCATGGCTCGGGGCTGTGACAGAGAGGGGTGGTGGACGTCAGGAGGCCCCGGATGCAGCCCTGCCGCCCCTTGCTGAAGGCCGTGGCCTCCTCTGCCTGGCCCCTGACTAGGTCTCAGTTTTCTGTCTGTAAAATGGAAATGGTGGCCTAGGGTCTCTCTAAGCGGCTCTGGAGTTCTGCACGTTCGTTCGTTCATACCCTCGTTTCTTTCCTTCTTCATTCACTCACTCACTCACTCACTCGCCCCTTACTTATTCCAGCACCGACTGCGAGGGCTCGAATCCTCATTATCACTCCCTCACTATTGCTCCTGGGCAAGTCGCCTAACTTTCCTGGGAGTCACTTTTCTCATCTATAAAATGGACTCAACTCATGCAGCTATTGTCAAGGGCTCGGCACATGGCGAGATCTCAGAGATGTTAACTCCTGTTAGATTCTGGTCTCTCCCTGATCCATCCGTCCCTTCCGTCTCTGGCCTCCCAGGAGCCTGTGGTTCCAGGACACGACATGGGAGAGGCCGTGTCCAGACCACATCCTCATGCCAGAGCGTGGGGCTGCCTGGCAATCCCCCCCCACCCGCCCCCAGGCCCTGGGAGTTTGCCCACCTCAGGAGACCCAGAGACCTGGACTAGGCGATATGGGTCAGAGAAATGACCCCTGAACAACTCAAGTCCTTCTAACTCCGAGGGTTCATGGTTCTGATATACCCAGAACTTTCTATGGGAGCCTCCCGCCTTGTGGACGAGGCTGAAATGAATCTGAGCTCCAAACTTCCAGGAACTCCATCAGCCCCCCCCCCCCCCAAAGGCCAGTCACAGCCCAGATTCTCTCCTTTCCTGTCTCAACACCCATCAGGATCCCCCCAGGACCCCCAAGCCCCCGTCACTCTAGTTGGGCCCCCAAGCCCCCTAGTCACTCTAGTTGGTTTGAGCTCTGCTGAGATCTGCCTCCGCTCCCCAGCTCAGGCGAGTCCCTCCCCCAGAACACCCCCTCCCTTGTATGTTTCAGGGTCTGGCTCAAATGCTACTCCTGTCTGAAGGCTGCTCGGACCCCTACCCACCCCAGCAGGAATCCCTTCCTCTCTAGAGCAGAGGAACGAGAAATGGATACGGGCCCCTGAAATATCAACCCCCAGGCCACCACACAGGGAGGTGCAGGCGGGGAAAACGGGGCTCAGAGGAGTCACAAAGGGGTGTACGTGCTGGCCCCCACCCCTGGGTGCCCCAGGTCAGTGGCCTGGAGTGCCTCGCTCATGTACACGAAGGCTCTCTCCAGCATCTTACAGCTCTGTCTGCCATGATGCCGAGACCTGAGATGGAGACAGATCCTGTGTGCAAGTCTCCTGGCACCCGTCCTGCCCACCCAGGCGACGGACAGCCGCTGCGCAGTAAACTGCTCTCAAAAAAATACCTTTTGAAAAAGCTCTGATTGCTAGCGTTTGTCGATTTCCATGGCGTACATACTGCCACCGTGGCTGATTCCGAGCCGCCACAATGTCAATGAATGACTTGCAAAGAGACGCACACAGTGAGGCTGCTCAGCACACCGCCGACCCCGGGCCGGGAGCCAGGCTAGCGATCACCATGAACCAAGCCCCTGCCGCGTGCCAAGCACTGTGCTAAGTGTAGACGAATAATAGCTGGCGTTTATTTTGCAGTTAATAAATTCCAGAATGTTCCAAGTGATGAGAGCACGTCCTAACCCCCTTCACCCCTCAGTGATCCCAGAAGGCAGGTGGAGTTATCCCAATGTACGGACGAGGGCATCGAAACACAGCGGAGTTTGGGAACTTGCTCATGGTGACACACCTGTCTGCCACCAGCAGAGGAGGGCGGGACCGCAGGCAGGCTGCCCAGTGCTATGGCGTCTCCTCACCCCCTCCCTCTGAGGCACCTCTTATCTTCCTCATTTCACAAATAAGGACCCTGCTGCTTAAAAGCTACGTGACTGGCGCCCGAGTTAATAAGGGTGGCTCCAAGGACAGTGACTCCAAGCTAAGACCCCCACGTCCCCCACCCTACTCATGTCTGAAGCCATCTTTCCATTTACCCCACAGGATTGCAGTGCCGTGTACACAGCTGGAGCTCAATAAGTGATCCATGAATGAATGAAGCAAATGACTCTGCCTCTGGGCTCTTCTCCCTCCACCCCCGCCTGGCTGGCTGGCCTGGGGGCTGTGACAAGGAGGGTCTCAGTGCCTTGGGCACACGCATAGGTGGGCAGTGGGGAGCCGGGGATACAAGATCAACAGCCGTGAGCCCTTCTCAGTCTCCTTCAGGGCTGTGAGCCAGCCTGGGCCTCCAGCAGAGATGGGGAAAGAGGCCCCAACAAGGACATCCCCTCCCCAAGACCCTCTGCAGGGAGCTTGACTCTGCTGGTGGTCATCTCTGTCTAGAACGGGAGGGAAGGAGGCCAGCAGCCCCCAGAAACAGTGTTTGTCTCCATCACCACCTACCCCAGCCTCTACCCCTAGGGCTCCTCTTACGGACATGCTAATGTCAGGGACTGAATGGGCTAAGTAAGGCCCAGAGAGAGGAGACAGTGAGTCAGAGAGAGGAGAGAGAAAGAGGAGGCAGGGAATCAGAGAGAAGAGGAGGGAGTCAGAGAGAGGAGGCAGGGAGGCAGGGAGAGGCAAACAAGGAGAGGGAAAATCTGTGGCTTTCTTCTTTGAGAGAAGACTGTGAGCCTTCACGTGGCCTCAACCACGTGGGGCTGTGTGAGGCTCACAGACACCTGGATGCCAGGTGACAGCACCTCTGTGGGCTCCGCCTTTCACCCTCGCATCTCTCCCCCTTCTCCTCCCCCAGAGGAGGAGCTGTGGGCAGTGCTGTGGGCACAACTTCTCCACCCCACTGCCTGCTCCTCTCTATCCTCAGCCAGGCTGACACCTACACAGTGAGGAGGAGACAGGGGTCAGAGTTCAAAGAGCCCTTTTCGGGTTGACAGTCCACCCTGGTGGTTCAAGGGGACAGACAGCAGCAGGAGTCCCTGAGTGCAGGTCTCTGACTGGGCAGACCCCCCACTCCAGGACCATTCTAAGGGCACCTGGGAGGCAGAAAGGTTGAAGCAGAGTTGGGGTGGGGTCATCCTGGGGGAACAGTCACCCCAGCCAGGCAGGCTTCCATCACTGGGTACTTGGTGTACCTTATTCCAATGACTTCACAACAGCCCCACGAAGAGGGGACCACCATCGACTGGAGTCGCTTGCCCCGGTTCACAGAGATGAGTGGCCGGGCCAGGGTTAAAGTCAGGCCATTGGCTCCAAGCCTGGGCTCTGGCCTCTGTGAAGACCCACCCCCAGACCAAACCGGAGCCTTTCACAATAGTGACCGACTCAGGGAAGCCTCCGCTGGAGTCTGGCAGGGAAATGACCCCCGAGGCCTGTTACAGTCTCATTCCCTCTCCCTCCAGGCAGCTGGGTGCGGGCACCCTGCCCAGGGCTCTCCAGCAAACCCTGCTCCAGCTCCCGGTGCATGCATCTGTGGGCTCACCCCTTCTTCCTGGAGCCCCTCCCCCAGGGCCTGCCTGGAAGATGGAGGTCAGGTGAGCAAGGACTGCAGGACGAGTGTGGCGGCGTCCTCTTCCCTGTGAGCACCCCAGAGCTCCGCCACTGCACTGCCCCCCCTCCCTCCCACACACCTCGAGCCTCCTCTGCTAGGGCACATCACAGCCTCGCTGGACACATGGATTCGCCAGCCTCCGTGCCCACGCTGAGATGGGTCCTGGGGGCTTTGCAAAGCCAACCTCACCACCCTTGGTGGCTCAGGATGGAGGTAGGCAGGCAGGCATCACCGGCCAGGAAACCAGCTCAGCCTTTCACCAGCTCAGCGACCTTGGGCAAATGGCCTGGCCTGGGGGGGTTGGTTGGTCATCTCTCAAAGGGAAATGATAAAAGCAAACCCAGAATGTGGCCCAGAGAGCCCAGTGAGAAGCCTAGAGGCTGACACAGCTCCTGGCACACAGCAAGCAGGCTCCTTGCTTCGTGACGCTTCTGCGCAGTCAAGGGGCTTTTTGGAGCAGCCACTGGGGTGGGACTGGAGAGCAGGCAGAGGTCTTGGGGGACCCCGTCTTGTGTCCCTGATGCCAGGGGAAGCCTGAATCACAGGCTCCTGAGCTGGCTGCCCTTCCCAGCCTGGCCTCCTACCTCCCAGGAGGTCCTGGACAATATCCTTCCTCCTCCTCCCAGGGCTGGGGGCAAAGAGGAGAGGTCAGAGGGAGCCCCTCAGAGGTGTATGAGGTCCCTCTGGCCAGCTGAGTACAGGACACCCATCCTGGGAAGGGACTCACTCAGGAAACACTCCTTGCACCAACCCAGAGAAAGCTAAGGAACTCTGGACAAGGAAGGTGGTCCTCACTCCTCCCTCCTCAGAGGGGGTCCTCCTCAGGGCCGGGGGGGAAGGGGGGCGCCGACTGACCACAACCAGCCCCACCCTCCTTCCAGGTGTGCAGGCAGCAGCTGGCTCAGGAAAGAGGGGGAGAGTAAGTACCTCTCCCTCCCTGAGAACCAGTCTCCTCATATTCAAACGGGCTCTTGAATGGAAGCTTCCAGCACCAATCAATAAGAGTAGAAGTTCAATAAGTTTTTCTAACCAGGCATAAATAAAGGGCCTAGCACCCTGCCTGACACATAGTAGGTGCTCAGCTGATTTAATTTTCTCTAGATGTGCAAAGCTGCCCATGGACCTGCCACAATCCGTTTTACTGTGCTAATCATGTCAAGCTTCCCCCAGCCTCACCCCGACAATCCTCAAACCCTTCTGCCTGGCTTCCCCGCTACACCCAGCTCCCCGCTTCTGTCGGGGGTCTCTCTCCTACCTGGGGAGGGCGGGTCGGGCCTCTGGTTCCGCTCGGAGGGCTGCCTGGAAGCGCCTGGAGCTGCGGGGA